GTGCTATCAAAGTCCATTTGCCATTTCAAAATGCTATAATCCTTCAAAGAAAAATTCAAGAATCCTTACATCTTTTTTCCCTTCTAAAAAAAAAAAAAAAAACGGGAAAAGGAGAGTGGGAAGGAAGGGAACAGCATTAGATGTCTGTTCTGTGAACACGCTGGCGCTGGGTGTGTGAATTGGGGAGATTGACCATCTAAAACAGGGAAGTCAAAGAGCAGCTTTACTCAGTGGGCCGAGGGGATATTCCATGCAACCATTCTCCAGCTTTTATTCTAGAAACTTTCTGAGGTTTCCAAAGAGCTATTTATGTGGATTTTATCAGTGTTTTTGCTATACTAGAAATCAAAACTGGGAATTCTTTGCAACCATTTATTCAGTTAAAATAGTAAATCCATTGAATGGTGACAGTGGCATTTAGAGAATCATTATTTTACATCTTTCCAAATTTCTGATGCTTGGCTTCATGGAAAACTTTTGCCATAATCCATTCTGGTTTATCATACATTACTTTATTACTTAATATAGTTATTTGGTCAATGTCCATCAAGAAAACGGCCTCACCTATGTCTGGTGGGAAGAGAGGGCTCCTGGACCCCTGGTGACCTTGAGGCGTCCTTGGAGCTCAGACTGAGACCGTGGCTCTAAAATTTCAACTGCTGCCTTTTGGTACTTAATTTGACAAAAAGTTTCCACCCCTCAAAGCTCCACACTTAATATATCAAAAGAATATAATACATTGAATCCACTTAATACATTTCCTGGTAGCTTAGGATATAATTTAAAATACCCCCTTTTTTTTGGTTTAACTAATAAATGGGGGGTTGTGTTGCCCAGGGAGTCAAGGGTGCTTTTAAGTTAGAGGAAGAGGGACACTGTGCAGCAGAGAAGCAGCATTTCCATGGGACAGTGAGTTGCAAACATGACGTGTTGCCAGACGCCTGTGGTTTAAGAATCGCTATTTTCCAGGGAGTCTAATCTGGCCATTACAGAGGTGTGGCTGCTGAGTGGTCTTAAACTGTGCTTGGGACAGGGCCTTGGTGTCCTTCTCTACCACCTCAGTGTAGAGAGGAGTTAGTGAGAGAGACACCATCCCCTTGTGCAGTGATAAATCCAGGGGCATTGGTCAGTGTGATTGTTATTCACTTATCACTGAATTCACAGTAAAGTTGAGTGACAGCCGGTACTGGCCTAATCTTGCAGCTTCTAACACTGAAGTGCACAATCTCCCCATCAAAGCTCTTCACTGGTTTCTGATTAGGGGTGATCTCTGTGGTGACCTCTAAACCACCTTTAATTCGATATCTCAGTATTAACCAGTGGTTCCCCCTTTCTTATCCTTATACAGACTATGCCAGGCCGCCTTCCTATCAGTAGGATTTTTCACGGGTGGGTGTCTCCAGCCCACAATGGGCTGAGGATTGGCTCCAGGCCTCCCCTGCACCTGGGAACTACTGATATGGACGTGAGCTGGATCACCTGCCTGCCCAGTTGCGATTTATTGTGTCGATGCTGACATTTCTTCAGGTTAAATGCCGGTGCACACGATGTGTGTTCATGAACTGCTGTTCACCTGGGGAGGCTTTTCTCTAAGAAGGCATTAGTGAGCTGAGGTTGGAGAATTGGTCTTTGCTTTGGAAAACCAGATGCAGAAGAGGGAGCTGGAAAGCACCCTATCTTTTGGTTGGTTCTCCAGAATTTTGGTTTTGCTCCCAACACTTGGTCCATAGTTGGGGAGGTCCAGAATGTAGACTAACACATAGCCTTGGGAGATGTCCCTGTACATGCAGGTGGATGCAGAGGGAAGGACAGGGCTGTCTCTGGTACCCATCTGGCCATCCAGGTCACTCACTGAGACTGAAACCTGGTTCTGCCTCTGGCAGGATCAGAAATGTGATTTAATTGGTGTGACGTTAGAAGACTGCCTCAGGAGGAGGACCAGCATCAGGATGCTACCTGGGTGACTGGTGCTGAGCTGGCCTTGAGTGGTGGCCCAGCTGCAGACTTGGGAGCCACAGTGTCAATCACACAGTCCGGGCTCATGGGTCACAGTGTGAACAATGGTCTAGAATGGGCTTCTGGGGAGGCAGGTATAGAAACAAAACAGGCCACAAAGGAGAGGGTGCCCAGATAGGGACCAGCACTGTGCAGGGCTGACAGCAGGGAACTGTGGCAGTGTCCAGGGTACATGCTGGCCATAGCTGAAGGGCATTTGGACTTCTCCACTCAACAAGGACAAAATATATACCCCAAAGGCATGGCCCCAGGGACTCCCTCCTCTAGCCACACCCAACCACTTAATCCTATGGGGGACTAATTCACTGACTAGGTTAACACTCTTAATAACCCAGTCACTTTGAAATTGGACTTTTGAGATAAAACTCGGTTCACTGCTTCTAGCAGGTAGGGTCTGTACAAACTGCAGGCTTCTGCAGCTGAGCAGGGTTGCAGCCCTTAATGGTGAGTCATGGCCCCAGGGTTGCAGCAGACTGTCAGTTTCTTCTTTCAGGATTCTTGTGTCATGATTTCAAAGAATGAAATCCACAAATGAGCAAATATGAGAGTCGGATATATTGTATAGAAACAGGAACAGAACTCTTGCAATGCAAGAAGCGACCCCATATCAGGTTCTTTCCCTTGGAGTAGGCTAGTCTAAGCATTTGCATAGCACTTGGGTCATTGCTGTGGTCCAAACTTATGCTAATTAGGATTTGGAAACTAACACTACTGGTCAGCTGTTGACTCTCAACTGTTCATATTCTCTCTGCAGGTCAGGAAGCAGGAGGTTGAGGTTGTGGGGTGGGGCTACAGTGTTCCCTGGAGTGTGCTTCTGCAGCAGGCCTATATTGGCATCATGCCCAGGCTTGGCTGCTGGAGGATGTCAGGTCAGAGGCTTGCCTTGCAGTGTACCCTGGACAGTCGTGCCGGCATGGTGGGCTCCATGTGGCCATAGATCGAGCTTGTTGCTTCTGCTGAGCCACTGGGACTCACTCCACTTCTGAGCAGGTACCAGTAGGCCTGCTTCAAGGCTTGGAAGTCAGGGACTGTGCCAGTTTCATCTCTAAACTTTCTTACCTTGTTTCACACGTGAGCTTTTGGGGGTCAACTCATATCTAAAGTATAACACTGTCAAAAGGTAGTGCCCCTGTCCCCAAATTCACTGTGTCTCTGTTTAGCTCCTGTGCATACCCTGTGTACCTGTTATGACGTATATAAAATCAGGAGATTACCTGTCCTGGGTGGAAAGGTATTTCACACAATTATTTTAATGGCAATGACTACAGATTTCATTGTACTCATTTGTTGTTTTTGTTTTTTTTTTTTGATTCCTGGGACGGAATACAAAATGCAGAACAGAGTGGTGAATGGACTGTCCTGGGAGTGAATGAAAATCAGGAATGTTTTAGAAAGGAAACTTAATTTCCTGGGGAAGAGTCTGAAGTCTCATGAACAGATTCATGGGTAAATTCCGGCTGAACTAATGTAGACGAGAGTTCTTCAAATTGATCAAAACTGCTTTTCTTTAGGCTTGCTCTGTTTGAATACTATAGATGCAGATTTATGAAATAGAAACTTTTTGAGACCCAACTTTATTTGGCATGGAGTAAATGATGAACTGCCTACACGACCGTACGTACATGGCTTAATGCATTTTAAACACTGTTCTTCCATTTAATAAAAGTTCAGAGTAAAAGCTATGTGAGGGTAATCTTTGTGCCCTCCTCTGTGGAGGTCCACTGTGAGACCCCATGGGGAGTGGTCCCATTGGGCCAGAGGAGCCTGGAAACTTGGCTGTTTAGGGGTGACTGTGCCCTCTGGTATGGGACATGGGGTCACCTTGCCAGCTTCCCCCTGCTTCTTTGATATGATTGTTGACAGTCTACTTTTTTTTTTCTTTTTTGGCGGAGGCACTGGGGATTGAACCCAGTGTGGTTAACCACTGAGCCACATGGCCGGCCCTTTTTTGTATTTTAGAGATGGGGTCTCACTGAGTTTAGTGTTTCACTGTTGTTGAGGCTGGCTTTGAACTTGGAATCTGCCTGCTTCAGCCTCCTGAGCCACTGGTATTATAGGTGTATGCCACCGGACCCAGCTGTCAATGGTCTTTTAAAAGTAATACTAGATATAGCAGGAGTAACAGAGGCTTTCCACATGAATGTGGCTGGAGCAGAAAGATATGCCAGTTATGCACTCCGTTTCTGCCCGTGGAGTGTTTGTGCATGGGGATGATCCTTCTGAAGTCTGTGATTTGCCACTGTTCACAATGAAATTTAGGCTGTATTCTCTCTGGGCTAGAACCTGGATTTTAAAATGATCAGAAATTTTTTTTTTCAGTGCAAAACTGTAGTAGGTGGAATTAACCCTATAATTTAAATGCATGAACATAGACAACAGTTGAAAAGCAGATAAAATCTATGTATTTTTATTTACTAGTCTTATTGCATCATTGAGTCATGTAATGAGGACTTAGGAAAGTAAAACATTTCTCTAGAACTCCTGAATTTCCTGTTGGCAGCTGGGCACAATAGCACTTGCAATTCTAATAGAAATTGTACTGTGGTCCTGCAGGTTGTGTGGAGCTCAGAGACGAGACGGTGAGGGATATTCTTGTCGGGTTCTAAGGTTTCAGGTTCAGTCCGAACAGAGGATGTAATAAGGAAGTCAGTAGTAAGAGAGTCGGCTTGGCATTAAATTCTACAAGATGAGGTTGAATTTTTTTGTTTGGGTTGGAACGATAATATCTAAAAATAATGAAGCAGGAATCGGCTGGCAAACAGAACCCCCCCTCTTTGCTGCTGATGGGCTCTCCATGCTTCGGCATTCTGAGATGGCCCGGGAAAGGCTGTAACCAGAGCCTTGTAATTTGATTTTGAAAGCTGTGCTTGGTTGAATATTTGATGAAACTCACTGCAGATCTCTGCGGGGGCGTTCCTGGTGTGTCCCTGCTGGCAGCTGCAGGAGTCTGTCCTTTTGGAGATTTCCAGGGGTTGACTCTCCATCTGGGAAGTAGGAAGAGAAGCAGTTACTCCAATCAGTGGGCAGGCCCCAGAGTGACAGGTGAACTCTCAGAATTTCCCACTTTCCAATGATTACAGCCGTCTTCCCATCAAACAGGAGCAGCCAGGCTTTCCATAGAGGGACAGGGACTGTCCAGGAGCTGCTTCTAGTGAGGGCTGTTCTGCTGAGTCATGCCTCCGGGATGATGGTGAGAACATTTTATTTGCAATAACTTTTCGACTTGATGAGTGTGGTAACCTGATCATTCTTGCCCGTGGGGCAGAGGCTGGTAGTGCGGCACGGGTGGTACTCTCTAAACATGGGCATTTGAGTGGTTCCTCAGTTCGTAGAGGACAGTTTAAAGAAAGTTGGCTTGCAAGGAGCCCATAGTTGAAAGCTGTAGGTTCTCAGAATAAGCTTTCCATACCTAAGAAAACAAAAATCCAAACGGCAACAACCACTTTGCCTGGCTGCAGGGCCAGCTGAGTGGAAACTGGCTTGCCAGGATACCCAGGTCTGGAGAGTAACAATGCCTGGGGTGGGGCGGGGGACTGAGACTGACTGACAGGGTTGTGTCTTGGGAAGGCCCTTTTTCTCCCGGGAGCCTCAGTGTGGAGGCTGTATGGGTTGTGGGGTCTGGCCAGCTGCAGGGTAGAGGTGAAGGGTAGTCTCCTCCTGTGCCTTCAGGTGGTGTCCTTCTGGGATTCCCAGGCTTCTGAGCCTAACTGTGGTTAGCAGCGGGGCTTTAAGAACTGACTTGGTCTTCTCCTGTGTGTGTCGGGGGCTGTTTTAGGAAATTTGGGAAGTTTTGAAACCACATTTTTCTTTTGAGTCTTTTATTCGACAGTTACCAACGTGACTAACTTTGGTGTCATGTCTTTTGTTGTGATTTTGCCTATTGAAAATAAAGCCTGTTATTTTTTTAAGAGACTGTCAAGCCTCCAGATTTCCAAGCCTCCTGCTCTCCTGCAGTATCTAATCTCTCGTCTCTTGAGAGGAACACCCAAGCTTCCCGAGAATGGAGGTGATGCCTATCCCATCATAGGATGAGTAGAGTTTGGATGAAAAAGAAAATCTGAGGGGGTAATTGAAGCATTTCGTGATTTGCCTGTCTGTGTTGTGGAGTTGGGGCCAGCAGGGAGAGCAGAGCTGGCTGCTGTGGGTCCTGCCTGCTTTCCCCTGTGAAGTGCTCTGCTTCGGCTGGAAACCTGATGGTCACAAGCAATTTTGCCTCCTGATATTTTAGAATGATGATTTAAATGTACTTGCTTGTTCCCCATGGGGATCTTGCCACAGGAAACAATGTACTTACTGGATCCATCTCTGTTTCTTTGGGTTTTTCCTCTTGAATCTACCAAAGAGAAAAAAGTCAGTTAAATGTCTGTTGGAGACATCTTACTTGGTGAGTTTTCTCCATCTTTGAGTCTTGCAGAATCAGAATAGGGATCTTGGAATGCCTAGGATACATTGGGGTGGTTTCCCTTTTGATAGTAACAGAATGAGATGTCTGTGACTGCATAAAATATTAAGTTGTTATTAAATCTTAGTGTGAACATGTATTCATCATTTTCTAAATGTCATCTAATCAAATGCTAATTTATTTTCCCCCCAGATGCCAAAAGATCATTTTGTTTTTGTCTTGACTGATTATATGAATGGGCTGCTATGCCTTTTTACTAGGTGAAATATTGTTTTAATTTGTGGCTACACTTTATAAAAAGTATGACCAGAGTTTTCTATTTCCAAATACATAATGTGCTAAAAAAAAAAAGTTTTAAGCAAAAAATGATGAAGCAGATTCACCTGGAGCTCCAGAAATAAATTGTACTATTGGTACCTAAACAGTGTTTTGTTGTACAGTTAATTCATATACTAGAGGCAGGCTGTGCTGTCTGGAAATTCTGAGAATATATACCACTGATACTCCTACCTTTTATGAACTGCTAGATGCCACATGCAACTTTGGATTTTGACAGTCCTCTGAAGCTGGCTGTTGAACGTTGACCCGATGATAACTGGACCCTTTTCTTCCTTTATTCTCTCATCCAGCACTTGCTGTGTGAATGTGTTACTCCAGCTACTGGGATTTGGTGGGAACAAAGTCTACATTGTCCTTCTAGCTTGTCCAGGAGGATGGAAGGACTCGATCAGTAAGATAATAATTGCAGAGAAGGGATGGTTTTGAAGGAAGCAGCTGCCCGTACTGGGAGTGAGAGCAGCATGGAGTTGGGGGTAAGAAGCAGGGGGCTTCAGGTTGATCCAGGTGTCCTCTGTGGCTGTGCTGTTTGGGTTGAGTCAGGAGTGGTGAACAGGAGCCAGACCTGGAAAGACCTAGGCTGCCCAGAAGTGGCTCTCCGGCAGTGTAAGCCTGATGTGTCTGAGGGTGTCCTGAGAGAGGACAGGGTGTAGGATAGTGGGGAATGGAGGCAGGGCTCAGAACAGCTCTGGTGTCAAAGCACACAGCAATCACTCTCACCAGGCAGAGCCAGATGTTTGGGTAGCACCATGCTATCAGAAGACCCATGAACTCATCGTGAAATGCATGCCATTGAACGATGGGATAACATTGTACATTCTGAGTGCACACATTTCATTTCGCCCTCCTAACAAGACTTTAAAAGATGTCTTGATAACAAATGTTCATTACAGTGCTTTGTAAGGACACAGGAAGGAAATTCAGACACAAGAGGTTATCTGACAGATATAGCAAAGCTTTTCCAGATGTGTGGAGGGGGTATGTGACACTTCCTGCTGGAGATGTGTTGAGCTGGAGGAAGGCAGGGCTGGTGCCACCATGGAATTTGCCTGAGCAGAAGTGGCTCTGGAAAGCAGAACGTGTGCAGCTGTAGGTTCGTGAGCGGGTGTTGAAGTGATGTAGGCACATGCAGCACGCCAGTGGGTTTCCATCTGTGTTCTAAGTATTTTTATTCCAGGGCTTCCAGAAGGGATATTATTGATCATGGTGGAGAGGATAGGGAGGCTGGATGGGGTCTTTGCTTAAGCATGGATCTCCTCATAAAGAGGTTACTTTAAGATATTCAGCTTTAAAATGTCAGTGACAGTGTGAACATTGGCACAAGGTCTTTGCCAAATGAGTGGGACAGATGCTTGGGTTTTGGGAGGTGGGAGACATTTTCATTTCACACCCTGTCACCACACACCTGGGGCTTGCTGAACCAGTCTTGTCCATGAGCACTACAGAGTGGGCGATCTTGCCTGAACCAGAGTGCCTATGATTCACCCCTAAACCACTTCCTGATACTTTTCACTGCATATTAGAGCCCCTCTCAGCTCATAGGGAACCTGTCTATTTAAATCTCAGTGATTAAGCGCTGTGACCATCAAAATATTCTCATGTAGTATCTGCAGACCATTAAGAACCTCTGAGGCTCCTCTGTAGCTATTGGCTCAGAATCTGCTCTCACCAGGACTCTGATTCAGCAGTGCAGAGAGACTGCCATGCATTCCTCTGCAGTGGCCTCATTGCTTCAGATTTTTGCATCACAGTGAGTGGAAGTTGTGCTTTTTCTTCCCTAACAGATTAAGATAATGAAACTGCAAACACTTTTTTTTTTTCTTTGCTGGGAAATCTACACAAGGGTCTCTCTGCTCAGTTCCTAAGAGGTTCAGCACTTTTGTTGTTCTTGTGTTTTCTGGACTTAGCCCTGTTTGCCTTCACGTGATCAGTGTCTGCTAAGCAGAAAGTCTGCTGGACTCAGCTGTGCCCTTAAAGTCAGGCAGACCTTTGAGAAGAAGGTGACAAATTAATCAATGGCTTGGCTTGAATAGTCCCCCTTCTTACTGTTGTTATTTGAGCACAATTAAATTGCATCTTAATTCTTTCTATGGGGGAAATTTTTTCCTACTTAACAAAGCTCTTAACATGTGGTCGTAAAAGATGGATTTGGTGACTATTCCACTTGACTTTGAATTTGCTCCCTGTTGGGTAGGTGAAGCTCAGTTTGCTTCCCAGGCCTGGGTCTTGACAGATACCTTTCTGTCCTTAACTTAGTTTTTATCAAGTAAGCAATGTGCAAATGGGTTACCACCTGTGAGAAGCATTATTTAAGAGGTTGGAGGTGGGATCAGAGAAAATTAGTGTCGTGTTGTTTGTGGACCAATGTCTGCCAAAGAACCCATAGTTTAACAACGTTTATGCTTCATCTTGAATACCTGTTCTGATTGGATTTCTTAAAGAGGAAAGGCATTTCTTCAATGAAGAGAATAGCTTCACAAAGGTAGGGGATACAGAATCTTTCATTACGAGAGGTAAAAAGACAGAAAGCAAGACATCTTCTTGGAAATTTACAAGATTTTCCTTTGGGGAGGAATGCTTCTGGAAAAAACCAGAGTCTTGTCAACTGGCTTTCTCTTAAGTACTCCCTGCATGGACAGTGGTATATCCTGAGAACCTCTGGTGTTGATCAGTCATGCTTGTGACCAGGGTCCCCCAGAAGGTTCCTGAGGTTCTGTGTGGTGGAGAAGTCAGTGTGGAATTAGAATTCCCTGTTTCTGGAACGATCACTGGCACTATGCTGTGCCATAGGCCTTGAGTGATGGGTGGATTAAGTCCTGGTAAATTCCCCCATTGCATTTCAGAACTTGGGATGTCAAAATGAGAAGCCCTCAGTGAGCACTGATCTTTGTGCATCAGGGTCAACATATTGTCCATTTTAATGCTCAGAGTAACTCTGTAACAGTGAATATTATTATTGCTATTAAAGTGTTAATGACCTGCATGTTCAGATGAGGAAAAGGCTCAGGAAGTTGATTTAAAAGCAGGTAGCTTGATAAAGATGCTGTAGATGAAAACGAGCTACTCTCATTTAGCACCTTGTACATCCAGACAGAAACAACTCTGGAAGTAAAGAGGAATATGCAGCCTGGTTAGCCATCAAGTAAGACAAACAACTACTGGGCTTTGGAATTGAAGACAGTTGCTTCGAGTCCCAGAATTATTGCTTTTTAGTTGTGTGCCTTGACCAGTTATCTCTCTGAAACTTAAGTGTTTTCTGTTGCTGTAATTGAATATCAGCCTGGGTAAATTATAAAGAAAACAGGTTTATATATAGTTCATGGCTCTGGAAGTCCCAGAGCATGGCGCTGCCATCTGGTGGGGGGCCTTCTTGCTGATCATGGGAGGTGGAGCATATCACATGGTGTAAGGGTTAAGATCCGAAATGTACCCTGAAGGGTTTGTTTTGAAAA